TGACCGTCTTACATTGGTCAAGGAGTACCACTCCAGGACTGGCCATTGGGGAATAAGGCGCACGCAGCATCTCTTGCGGCAGCGACATTGGTGGGGCGACCCAGTGTGTATTGCTTTTTTTTTTTTTCTTTACGGCCCGCAATCAGCAAATCCACTGGCCCGCTTTCGGCCAATACGGCCAGTCTCCAAAATTGCCCGCCGCAGGCGCGAAAATTTAATTTTAAGTATGGTGATATTGTAAAAATCGCATAGTTTTGCATAAATTTTGGTATTTTCATATCAAACGTCACAGCCCGCATCCATATATTCCATCGGCCCGCATGCGGCCCGGAGTGGTGAGCTACGGCCCCGGGCCGGCCCGCCACGGTAAGCAATATACTCTGGGCCGACCTGAAGAAGGACGTGGAGGCAGTGGTCACTCAGTGTGAGACCTGCCAGCGTGTGAAGACTCATTACGCGAGGGAGGAGGCATGCTTGTCCCCTCTTGAGATCGTGTCATTCATGTATCGTTGGTCATTGGACCTGGCATGGCCGTCAAGAAGGGAAACGAGGTCTGGCAACAACAGGGTGCTCATCATGACCGAGCACTACACCAGATTCATAGTCTGTGTGCCTATCCCCAACAAGGAGGCAAGCACTACGGTAGAGTCAACCAATAAGAAAACAGAGATTTCGGGGTCAGCCCCCTCCCCCCCAGCTTCGGTACCTAAGAGAGCCGACGAAATAAGAGAAAACCGCTTATTTTGCCAGCTAGCTTTTCTCATTCTTAAGAGTGAAAAATCAGTTTTCTCGTATTGGATTCGCAGCACATCCTCACTTCGAAAAAACCGCCCACTACCGTGATGGACGACGCGACACGTTCACAATTGCGGTAAGTTATTAGTGATGTTAGGGAAGGTCTACTCGCACAAGATGACTTTTCTAACATCAAAGCCGTACTTATTTTGCTATATTTTAAGAAAATGTCCTGGGGTCTAGCCAGCCTCCATATTTCTTATTTTTGCCAATCTCTTAACTTTTAAAACCAGCCAGCTTTTCTCCTAAACTTGTGACCCCCCCCCAAAAAAAAGCTGGCTGGTTTCTTAACGTAGCTTTCTCTTATTGGTTGACTCTTACTGTATTGCGGCAGCATTTCACAGTCATGTGCTAGCCGTCTTCGGTGCGCCAGCTGAGTGCTTGGTGGACGGGGGCAAAGAGTTCGAGGGTGAGTTCGAGCAGCTATGCAGAGACTGTCTGATAGACAGGAGGGTCACCTCACCAGACTCGCCAGAAGGCAATGGTCTCACCGAGCGAGTGGTGCGCACGATGAAGTTTTGTTTTAAGAAGATCGCCTTGGAGAAGGGCCTCGACTACGAGTGGGATGAGCAACTCTGGCCACTCGTGATGAGCTACACCAATGCAGCACGTCAAGAGTCCACAGGAGTGGCGCCGTTTACCTTGCTGTTTGCCCAAGAGGCAGTGGTGCCGCCAGATCTGAAGCAGGCGCCTCCTAGCATGGATTTCAGTCCAGAGGTCAGTGATGACAAGGACACCCGGGTCAAGGACCTCCTCCTGAGAGCACAGGTAGTGAGGCGGTTGATGGTGCATGCTGGCTGCAGTCTGGAGATTGCGCAGCATCGTGATACTTTACATTATGAGGGAAGAAGGGGTGGTGGCTACGAGCCTAAGCCACACCAGTTTAAGGTGGGGGACTTCGTCTACATCAGACAGAAGCCTCGCAGTGGCATGGAAGTCGCCACCAAGTCCGCCATCCTGAAGCTGGTCAAGATACAGCGAGATGGTGTTGTGGTGCTTGAGGACGCCACCAAGTTAAGAGAGAAGAGCACTGTTCAGAGCATTGCGCCGTGTCACCTGCAGGTGAAGGACCAGTATGACTGTAGTGCAGCCGTGCCCAGTAGACATCTTGCATGTGAAGTGTGCAGGAAGTCTGATGGAGAGGCAGAGATGTTGTTGTGCGACACGCGCAACAAGGGGTACCATTTGTGGTGTCTTACCCCAGCACTGGATGAAGTACCAGAAGGCGAGTGGCTATGTCCTAGGTGCTCAGGCACGAGGATGCAAGCTGCTAACGCTGAGGTGCAGACCCAGGAAACCAAGAGCTCTTGTGTCCTGGAGGACAGGCTGGGAATGAAGGAGCAGCAATTGAACGAGAAGCTATCCTCAGACATGCGCCTGCTGCCAGACGTGGGTCCCCGTCGTGTGGTGAAGGGAGATAAGTCTCAGCCATGGCAGGCTATCTCGTCAAGAGAGATGATGCTGGAAGAGAAGGACTTGTTCCTCTACATGCCAGATCAGGTAGATTGGGGCAGACAGGACAAGCTCTCAGAGGCCGTGAAGATCCTCATGCCTGGGCACTGGAATGAGGGACATCGCACCGTGCTGAGCAAGAAGTATCGAGAACAGAAAGCAATGGCAAGGCAACTGAGGGATGCACCTCTGGTGCCTGCTTTGGCTGAGGAAGAGGTTGAAAAACGAGGAGAATTGAGACATATGACCAGAGCCCAGGTGCGCGAAGCTAGCGCGCTGCAGTGGGGGCTTGAGCTGGTTATCACGGTGCCTTCCGAGGTGAGGCGCTTGGCGACAGAGGTGGACTGGAAGTCCATCGATGGCGTATGGGACCCATGGGCAGGTACTGGGGTCATCAGTGAAGTGATGGTGGAGCAATGGCCACAGTTAAGATTTATGAACAATGACTGGAACCCTCAGCTGGGTTGGTCTGAGGCGCGTGATGCACTTCAGCCAGGTAACTATCGTATATCTAAGGAGAAGTATGGCGTCTGTGATGCCGTGGTGACCTCTCCCTGGTTTGCAGCGCTGGATATCGCATTTCCATTGGCAGTTTTGGCCAGCCGCGTGGTGGCATGCGTGCATGTTCCCTCTTACTATTTGACAGATATGGCTGAGAGCAGAGCCGCGTACTTCAGACGATTGAGTCAGTCTGGACGCCTGCATGTGATTGGACTCGGGTCCTCGTTACCTCGTTACCTCGTTACTTGAGTTTGGTGTGGAACATGGACCTATTGGCCGCAGGTGTATGTGGGTCTTGGTGTTCAAGAACCCTCTGGTCCAGAGTGGAGACTTACGGCTTACGGTGAATACGGTTACGGTGTCGAGAAATCACCGTATCGCGTATATACGGCGTATATAAGGCGTAAAATACGGTATACGGCGTAACGTATGCGTATATACGGCATAAAATACGAGTTCCTCGACAGTGAACTACGGCGTATTTACGTCGTATTTACGCCGCAAGTATCCACTCTGCTCTGGTCAGAGCGAGAATGTTACAAGGTGGAGAAGGTGAAGGCATTGGTATGTTCACTTTCAGTTTGGGCAAGTTCATGGCAGATGGTGATACGACCCAGTATGCTGAACAAGCCCATATTTGAGTCTGTGCTACTGCAGGCAGCAGTTACAGATGGGGGATGTTGGAAATCTGGGCTTGCATATAATAAGAGCTTAGTATACGATCTCAGAATATCAGAATTAAGAAAGTCGAAAGTTCTCGCTGGGATTTAAAACGCAAAGAGAGAAAAGCCCAAAAGAAAGTCGAAGTTCTCGCTGGGATTTGAAACGCAAAGGGAGAAATGCCCAAAAGAAAGTCGAGAGTTCTCGCTGGGATTTGAAACGCAAAGAAAGAAAAGCCCCCAAAAAGTCCGAAACATCCTGAGAAAAAAAGCTGCACCCGGGACTCGCACCCAAATCACTCTCGAGTGTTAAGAAAAAAGTCACTCTGCGGAGTGACAAACATTTTTGCACTCTTGGCGGCGGTCCAAAAATCCGGAGAAAAAAAGCTCCACCCCCCGGGACCCGCACCCAAAGTCACTCTAGGGTGGCAAGAAAAAAAGTCACTCTGCGGAGTGACAAACATTTTGGCACTCTCGGCGGCGGTCCGGAAAATCCAAGGAAAAAAAGCTCCACCCATGACTCGCACCCAGAGTCACTCTCGAGTGTTAAGGAAAAAGTCACTCTGCAGAGTGACAAACTTGTTTGCACTCTCATCGGCGGTCCAAAAATCCGGAGAAAAAAAGCTCTACCCGGGGAAAAAGTCACTCTGCAGAGTGTCAAGGAAAAAGTCGCTCTGCAGAGTGCAAAAGAGCCAGCCAGCAATATCCACCAAATCGGGTACCCCCCCGCCCCCCACGAAGAAGAACCGAAAGAAGAAAAGAAGAGCCAAGGCCAAGGAATGTCACTCTTGTAGAATAACTAAAAATCGGTCGTCAAAATGATGACCAAAAGTAAAAAAATATTTCTTGTTGCAGAGTGACTTTCCTATCATAAAACTCAAGAATGACTTTTTTTTTCTTCTCAACACTCGAGAGTGACTTTTCCCTTTCATGTTCCAAAGCTCTTGTCCTCATGAAAGCCCCCAAAGAGTCGGATAACTAAAAGCGAAATTAGGTTGTAGAATAACTAAAAATGAAAGACTGCGAGTGAAACCCTAAGCTAGAAAAAGTCGCAGTTCTCGTTGGGATTTGAAACGCAAAGAGAGAACTGCCCAAAAGAAAGTCGAAAGTTCTCGCTGGGATTTGAAACGCAAAGAGAGAAAAGCCCCCCGAAAGTCGAAAGTTCTCGCCGGGATTTGAAACGCAAAGAGAGAAAAGCCCAAAAGAAAGTCGAAAGTTCTCGCCGGGATTTGATACGCAAAGAGAGAAAAGCCCAAAAGAACGAGTCGAAAGTTCTCGCCGGATTTAAAACGCAAAGAGAAAAAGCCCAAAGAAAGAGTTCTCGTTGAAAACGCAAAGAGAGAAAAGCCCAAAAGAAAGTCGAAAGTTCTCGTTGGGATTTGAAACGCAAAGAGAGAACCGCCCAAAAGAAAGTCGAAAGTTCTCGCCGGATTTGAAACGCAAAGAGAAAAGCAAAGATTTGATACGCAAAGAGAGAAAGCCCAAAAGAAAGTCGAAAGTTCTCGCTGGGATTTGAAACGCAAAGAGAGAAAAGCCCAAAAGAACGAGTCGAAAGTTCTCGCTGGGATTTGAAACGCAAAGATGAAAGACGAAAGTTCTCGCTGGGATTTGAACCCAGGTTGCCAGATTCAGAGTCTGGAGTGCTAACCGCTACACTACGAAAACCTGTTGATGAAAGAAAGAACAGTCATACTATTTACAAACAGACATTTTCTTTAACTTTTATATATTCTCACCGCTACGTTCTTTACGTCCACGCTTTTTATATCCAAACGCCAAAACCTCTCGTCTGGACCGTCTACGTCTGTGACGTCTGTGACGTCTCCGTCTGCGTCTGCCGTGCGACAAAGATAATGTCATAATAATCATGTCAAATAAATCATGTCAGCTTTGTTCTGTTCGTTCTTGCGGATGTAAAAAGTCTGCGCAAGAAATTAGTTCAAGGAAAAAAATCGATTTAATTATAAATGTGGACCGACGGCTTGTTTCCAGGTTCCAAATCATAAGGAGCAGAGATTACGCTGTGTGTGACACTCCTGTCCTCACTCGACTGACTGTGACACTCGACTGCGAGAGCGAGAGCTGCTCGCATGCACGTTTATATACAGCTTTGAACCAGCCGAGACGGAGAGGAAGAAAAAGGATGTGGCGCGGATGCTAAACCCTGCCCCATATGCGCAATTAGGTAGATCTTCAGTCTCCGGCATTCCGTTAAAGTTAAGTTGACCTATACGTCACACCAGGCATCCAAACTGTGCAAGCACCCGAGCTCTCATTCTCGATGCACAGACTTGTAACCTGAGGCCCAGTCTCGGTACAAGCAGGTTTCCGATAGTACTCTGAAAGTAAACACTCTCGATCAGCTGAAGAAAATAAGTGTGCCTGAATGGCAGAAGCTTCCGCCGAGGTCTTTCCGGCTGCAGAGCAGGTGGGCCTTTCCATCCTTTGGTGCGAGAGCGCTACAATGGACAGATCATCGGATCCACTTGATGAGATCCCTTTTAAACATGGGTTTCGAGCAGCGTTGGCTTACGCCCTGGTAAAGATTGAGGAACGACCTAAAACCGCAACGAATCATATGTGTTTTCTTTATCGTTGTTTCAGGTTGCACCCAGAAAACGACTGGACAATACGGAGCTGGTGGTTCCTATATGTTACGGAACGGTAGCCTTCTGGTTGGGAAAGAAGGTGAACCCCTCGACGTTGGGCATTGGGTGACTGTTTTGCTTTCAACAGTGTCTTTCGAAGGCGAACTCAAAATGAAAATCTCTTTGGTTCATCCAACGTCGAAAACTGAGCAAAACACCGTTTTCGCGATAGCTCTCTGTTGGCCTTTTCCTGCTGCGCGTGATGAGCTGTGGCAAGGTATTTTCAGGCGGACGAATACCACTCGCACAGGTGGACTGTTTATGTCCGCTCACCATCCGGTGAAGAGCTCAACCATATCATCAGTAAGGTATGATAGAATCAGTTCGCTTACGGCTGTGGTAGTGCACACAGGGTTTGTGCACGTACCACTCGTTTGTGCAGATCTCAGCCCCAAAGTCTGTCGCCCCGCGTCATGTTTCAAGGATACTCACGGTTGCAGCATTCTAGCACAGTGCCATTGGCAAGCACCGCAGGCGACACCACGCACGGAGACAGTTTCATTCATTGATTTCAACGCATTCCTTCCTTACATATCCTCTTCGCGCGATGCACGACGTGTTCAACGTAAGAACCACGGCTAGGAGCGAATATCTTATGAGTGTTCTGGTCTGGATGTGTGCGAGAGGCACGTGATACCTTTCAACTTTGGCATCAACAGCGGAACGCTAACTTCGGTCGCGCTGACATCGGTCCCTTGTTGCACAAGTTAGGGTGTTAGCGCGTGCCGCTAAGCCTTAGCTCCCTTGGCGCCTGGTAAAAGGGGAAGGCCGGGACTCTCCTCCTTCGCTTTATCGCTGGAGTGTTCCTTACTTCTAGGTTTCCTGCACCTCAGGAAGGTGAATGCTTTGGTCGTCAGGGTGGTTCCGCGATGGGGTAGACAGGTTGTTGACCTGAAAGGCGTTGCTCAACGATCATACATACGTTTCTGCTACTTGACCGAAGAAGCTGAGTTGCCTTAAAATACCAAATCGAACACAGCATGCCAAATAGTTGTTGAGAAAAACACCCCGTTGTCCTTTTCAAGGGACCATGATTCTTGGCTGCTGGGGTATGGAAGTCCCGAGTTGCATCCCCACACACGGGTTATGGCTTGATAGGGGCCATGGCCTTCCCGCCCACCTTTGCTGCCTGCGGAGGCGTTACAGTGCTGGTGTGGTCACGAATTGCGCCAGGTGGTTTTCAAGCTGCATGATAGCTTCATGAACCCCATACGTGTGGTGGAGGCTGCACCTTATGAGCTCACGGAAACCGGGTGGGGCGAGTTTGAAATCAGCATCACGGTATGTCAAGCCCAAGCGCGACTGCACACTCTGCGAAACCTGCGGAACTCCGCTCAACACTGGAGCGACGGATGCTACCTACGTGCCGCGTTCAGGACTCCTCGTTTCTCTTGTTTTTTTATGTGGACTCGACCCGCGCTTGAGCAGCGCAGAAAGCGACTGCCGAGCTTCTCTGCTCCTGCGGCGAGCTTCTTCGCTCATGCGCCGCGAGGGTATTACAAAAAGAAAAGCGCCACGATTCCAGCGGAATTCACGCGGGGGAATCCGCGAGGTTGGCCTTGGGCGACTCGTATCACTTCCATCCCACAGCAGAGTGTGTTTGTAATACAAGTGTTAACAGAGTACTTATTAATCGTTCGACTCGATCTGCCCGCAGATGCACTTCACCGAAGACAGTGGAGAGAAGCCGATTGAGATGTGCGCACGCAGCCGGCCCCCCTTCGGAAATCGAAGTTGCCTTGAAAGCAGGGCAGAGGGCACATCCTGCAAACCTTTTGCAGGGAGTTTGCGAGCCGACGTCATGTGCTTTCCTTTACTTTCCTCTCGCTTGATTTCTAACTTGACGCGGAAGCCATCTGTAGGGTCAAACTTGGCACTCGTAAGAGGGTCCTCCATACTCGCTGCTTGTTGATGCACTTCAGCGCTCGTGTCTTTGGAGCTCTTATGAGGCATTCCTGAGCGTGGACCAACTTGAGCACGAGCGCAAAACTTGTGGCGATCTCCGTGCTCGTCCACGCCGCAGACTTTAGGTACACGTAGGGGTTGTCTTTTCACAGATTTCATCCCCTCAAGTTGTATGAGGATGCCGGAAGCAGCATCGATCGACAGAGCACAAAGAAGCCGGTAAGTGTTGGGCAACTTTTGCGCGCCCATGCGGCAAATACCGGCCGTTTCGTTAGCCTACCCGGGGAATGTTTCGTGTGGTTTGTCACCTGATCCCCAGTCCAATTCATGGGTGCAGCGAAAAAATGTAGCACGTTGCGCCTGATTCGAAATCCGAAGGTGGCCGTCAACCACACAGGCATCTATCTGCCTTTTCGGCCTTGGCATATCTTTGATAGGGCAACGTCTTCAAGAAAGAGTAAGGCACAGGTTTTAATTCATTCCTCAGCCGTCATGGAACTGGAAATATGTTTCAGTGACGTGACGAAACACGGTTTGTGTGCGGAGCAATACAGGTGGTGACGGAAGACTACGACGAACTCGTGTTCAGCGAACCAGTGCAAGACTTCTATGAGCGGGTGGTGAACGTCAAGCCGGCCCCAGCTCCTTCCAGTGAACTTACTCAACACTGTATGTTCGGCCACTCTCCCGTTCTGCACACGTGCTTCTTGTCACGCTAATCTGGCAGCAACTTCTTTGTTGCGAGTCATTCCAAGCTTCGAATAAAATCTGTGCACGCTGTGCGGAACTTCCGGAACGCTCGGAAGTGACGGAGCCGAACATTGTTTCCTTCAAACGCACTCAAACTCTCAAGCAGGGATTGCAACGGCTGTGGCCGCCGTTTTTCTTCTTCTTCAATTGGAGTAAATGCTGATATGTGCTTTCAAATCCTCGCCGCGTCTCAAAAATGTTGGTTGGCCCTAAGATTGAAGTGCAAGATGCGCTTGCCAGTTGATTGTGGCTAGAGTCTCGCCTAAAAGTATCCACTCGGTTACCATCTTGTTATTGCCTGTTGCGTCACAGAACAGTAGTGCAGACCTCCTCACTGCATCGGGCATGGTGTGCCTTTTTGTCTTCAGTGCCTGTACACAATGACGCCGAGGAGCTTGCGAAAATAAAAGCAGCACGTCGTTCGCTAGCAGAACAGATTGCAGAGTCCAGACTGCAGCTAGAGCTTGGCGAAGCTACTTGACTTTGGACTCAACTTGTGTAACAACCGGACCGAGGAACTCATCGGTAAGCTGTATATCTCACTACCTTCTGTTTTTCTCACAATCGTTTTGCCTGTACATATGACAGGCCTTGTTGTATGTCATCTGCCACAGGATGATGCTGTAAGATCGGGGTAAAGCAAGATGTTGTCAGTGGAGTACTCATGTTTTCCATCCTAATTGACAGGAGCACGGGAATATGGAGTTTGTCGGATAGACATGAGAATTGAAGGATAGAAAGGGCAAGGTAACACAAATGCATTGCCGAACTGGTTGAAGATTTATATTTTCAGGCTTTCATATCGTGGACAGCCATATCCTTGATTCGATGGAGTGCCCCGTGCAAACTACCAGTAAGCCTTCAACCCTTGAACACATAGAAGTGAAACCTACGAAATGTTGGACGTAAGCACCTTTTGCACAAAACTAGCAATTTGTAAATAAGTTGTGAACCGTGTAAATATGTGGGAGGAGTGTGAGAGTTGCGCGATCAAAGGTTCCATCATGCACTACGATGCCGGCCATGTGATTAGCTTTGTGACAGGAGCATGCAGCCGAAAGTCTACCGCGGATCGGTGGCTCTCATCAGCGTCAGCGCAAGGGAAGTGTAGCATCTAAGGACATCACTGCAGATCAACACGCATTGCCAGATTGCCTTCTAGCTAGACTAGATGTCATTTAAGGCTACGAAACAAGCAAGCATGTGAAAACCTTTCTCGATTAGCAATCGATAGGTAGCAAGCGAGTCCTGCTCTTGGAAAGCGCAAGTGAAAGATGCGAAGTAGATTCTTGGCACTTCTTTGAGAACCCGGGAAGACACGTAGCCTGGGGTATTAGTGCACCCTTCAAAGCATAATTATAT